TCGCCTCCTGTCACTGCCAACCCTGGCTCTGAGCTGCCAAGGTACAGGGGATGGGACAGCCCATCCCGTGCCAGTGTGTGACACTCTGGGTACCCCCTCCCTGCTGCAGAAGCCAGGGGACAGCACCTCCGTGCACTCCACCACCATCGTTTGCTGCCTCTTGGTTTAATTGCAAACCTCATATTTGGATTTCTGCCTAAACCCTGCCCCTGGGACCACAAAAATCCCTGCTCGAGAGCCTGAGCATCCTTGTTTACAGCCGCAAGCTAAGGTGGCAGGCTGAGAAACACTGCAGAGTTAGACGGCAAGTGGAAACGCTACAAGCCCCATCTCCCTTCCCCAGGCCTGAGCTGATGCATGGGGCTGACAAGCCTCCTTCTGCACCTTGCTATGGTGCCTGTCCACATTCCTGGCACATCCTCAGCTGGGCTGCAGCTTCCCTGGAGAGAAGCATTGGTGTTACCTGCAAATGCCATGCATATCCCCAGGAATCTTCTCACAAGGGTGATAAAATCCCTGGAAGACTCGGACGGGCGCCCTGTGCTCTGAGCAGGGGAACTGTGGGGAGTGCAGGGGGAAAGGGGAGGTTTCTGCAGAGCACCCATGGGATGCAAAGCTGTTTTCTTGGATGAAATGCATCTCCCCATCTGCTGCAACCCGGCAGTGTGGCCCCTACCCCAGACAGTGAGGTGGTGTCCCCCCGTCTGCATGCGGGACGTGTGGGTCCCCACAGTGTCCCTGGATCACTGAACCACCTCTGCAAACACTCTGGGTTTGGGGATCCTGCAATCCCTGACCTGGCAAATCCCCTTCCCCATCCTCAGCTCCCCACAGTCCACGCAGGCAGCCCCAGTGGGAGCAAGGCAGCTGCCCACTGGCGCATCCAGCACAGGATTCATTGGAAAAGTGGTTCCCAGATGTTTCCCACCATTCCCTACGTGCTACCCCCAGGGACCTGCTGCCCTCACAGCCACCTCGTGCACTGCTCCAGCAACCGAGTGCACCGGGTCCAGGCCAGCCCCACGGCACTGCCCTGGCCTAAATCCCATGGAGAAGCACCCATCATGCGGGTGCCTCCCATCCTCTCCCATCTGGCCATGGCTCTGGCTGCAGGATTTGGCTGTTTGCCCGCGGCTCCAACCCCGTTTGTGTTGCAGCTGGAGGGGTTTTGCCAGGGGATGGAGGATGGGGCCCTGGTTGCAGCGGGGTCGCATGGAGCTGGCAGCTTGGCAAGGGCCCAGGCTCACCTCCTGCCTGGCCTTGGGCTCAGATGGATAATGAGGGGGCAGGATGGGTGTTCAACCAGAGCCCTGGTCCCCAGCTCCTGCCTCCTCACGCTCCTGCCTCCATGCCCAGTGCCAGCGTGAATCAGCAGCGCCCGCTTAACCGTTTCCTTGCAGGGTCCATACCGGCTCCGGAGCGGGGGGACAGCTCAGCCATGCCAGAGCCAACCCCTCTGCTGCCACCCCCACCACCCCTATGGGTTGCTTTCCCTTGCCCCAGCCCCATGGGTTCATGCACCAGCCCTGTGCCGGTGGGAAACCCTCAGCACCCGGTCAGGTCCGAGCTGAGCAGCCCCTGCTGCTGCAAAGCCTCTTGCAGAGCGCATCCGTGTCACCAGCTTTGCCTGGGGCCCTGCCATGGTGCTGGGGCATCTCATCCACCCGTACTCAGCCACAGAGGGAGCAGCACGTAGGCACCGGTGCCTGCAGTGGATGCAGCACTGAGGTCGGGTACCACCAGCAGCCGATGCAGCAGCAAGGCAGCCCCAGAGCTGCTGCGATGCAATGGGAGATGCTGCTGCCAGGCTGCCCTGGGCTTCCTTGGCTGTTTCTAGTCCGTTTGTCTTTCCCATGCTGGCCATAATGTGGCCATAGCCCTGATGTGTTGCAGTGGCATTTGGTGCTGCACTCCCTGAGAGACACTCTACCAGCTCTGTGCCAAGATACGGGAAAGCAAATGACCTTCCCCATGGAACCCCAGCCCGGCTCCCTTCCCCTAAACCCATGCACTTACCCTCAGCGTTGTGCTTACAAAAGGAGCCAAAACACAGCAACTCCTTCACATTGCAGCCCCATGGATGGTTTGATTTGACAGGCCAGGTCAGTCCCAGTGTTTAATTGCAAGAAAACCAGCTCAGACCATTGGGTCCTTTCCAGTTGCTGAGCTTTGGCTTTATTACTGGGAGGGCTCAGGTAACTACAAGGCAACAGCACACAGCAAATTATCTTCCCATCCCCAGCTCATGCGCTCCAGCCAGAGCCCTTGGTCAGGTTGCAGCTCCTGAAGGGCTTTTCACCAGGGGAGCAATCGTGCATTGCACTGGTTTGTGCTGGGTTTGGTGGTGGGGAGCTCCTGCTTGCTCTGTTTCCCACAGAGGGAGTGCAGCTCAGCGTTGCATCCCTCTCTCCTGGGTGCTTTCACCAGTGATTTCCCCCCTGCCTCCCCTCCCACAGCACCCTGCCCTCTCCCATTCACTGCAAATGTGAACCTCCTGCCTTGGGACAGGATGGGGACAGGGATGGGAGCGCAGGGTGCTCCTTGCAGCACATCCACCACCATCCTGCTTTGGCAAAGGGCTCTTTACAGCAGGAGAAACTGTACCAGGAGGCTCTGCAGCTCTGGGTCCCCACCATTTTCAGTCGATGTGCAGGCAGGCAGGATGGGGACACACTCAGCAGCTGCCTGCTCCCTGTATCACATCCCCATCCCTTGCTTTTTGGCTGCAGCAGGGATGCTGGGGCCAGGGCAACGAGAAAACCTGGAGGCAGAGCAAGCTGCCTCCTGGCTGCAGCATCCCTGTGGCTGGGGCTGGTGCCTGGCACCTCACTTGAGGACCCCGGAGCCCAGGATGGGGCACCCCCATCTGACAGCACACCCCAAGGCCACGGCACTGAGGGTTGCACGTTTAATGGTGGTGCTACAGCAAAGGCAGAGAGAGCAGGGAGAGGCAGGGGCCCTGCTGCCCCCCCAAGGGACCCAGCTTGGCCCATTCACCCTCCCCAAGCAGTGCTTTGCCCACAGCTCTGCAGCAATGCTGCCAGGGGCAGGGACAGCAAACCTGGGCTGCACGGGGACAGGGCACTGCCGTGTGCCTGCAGTGTCGGCAGCGCCAGCTCTGCATTGCAGCACCTCCTGCCTGCACAGGGTCAGCACCATCCCTGCTCCCCATGGAGGGCACAGACCCCCCTGCAACGCCAGCAGGAGCTGTGTGAGATGAGCTGCGCCGATGCTCAGCACTGAGCGGGCTGATGGGGACAGAGATGCAGGGGGGCGGCTGCTGCCGGAGCAACCCAAGGGCACGCAGGAGCTGGGGCAAACCTCACCATCCCTCCATGCCAAATGCTCTGTGGCTCCTCTCCAGCAAACATGGGGCTGGGGGGGGCACAGCAGAGCCCCCTTGGCCGACGGTACCCGAGCGTGGCTGGGGCTGGCAGCTCAGCACCATCCCTCGGCTTGGCTGCCGGCACCGGGCATCACCGCAGCCGCCTTGATGCGATGTGATGGGCTGTGGCAACGGGCACGGGGCTGGATTGTGCTGTGGGGCAGCCTGGAGCAGTGGGGCACAAGCATGTGATGGGGGTGTGTGTGTGTGGCAGCAGGGCAGCGGCAAGGCAGCGGTGTTAGATGGGAGGTGATGCAGAGCCAAAAATAACCCCCAGGCTGTGGCTCTGACCAGGTGGCACCGAGCAGAAGGAGCAGGGAGAGGCTGGGACTGGATCCCATGGCACTACACCCAGCTGTGGATGTGCTCCCTCCCCAGGGGCCCTGTCCCAGCCCTGAGCAGCACTGGTGCTGTCACCCCAAGGATGCCCTTCCCTTGCCAACGCAGCAACTGCAGCATAGAGCCACAGACCAGAGCCACAAACCAAGCCCCCGGTGCCAAGTGCAGCACCATGCTCGGGGCTTGCAGGAGGGGTGCTTTGCCACTGCTCAGGTGCACTGGGGCAGCCCACGGGTGTCCGTGGAGGGCGGTAGGTGCCAGACTGGCTCTGGCTGCGCTGTGCATCGCTGCGGTCCCCCCTCCATCAGCATCGCGGCAGCTCAGGGACAGCCACGCGTTTATTTTTAACTGGCTGTGGAGGGCGGGCTTGGTGCCTCCTTGGTTATATCACTGGATCCCTGCCGGGCCCTGTTAGTTCCAGCCCTGTGCCGCGCTCCTGTAACTGTTTCGGCTTTTCATCCCCTTGGAGACACATCCTGCCCTGGACCGTGGGCTGCTCAGAGCCAGCTGTGTGCACAGCTGGAGAGCTTGCACCATCTGCTCCCCATTGGGTCACCAGGACCCTGTGGCCCCCCCAGCCCTGGCCTCCCACCTCATTGCCCAGCTGCAGGGCAGGTCCCCACTGCCTGTTCCACCTCCCCAGGGGAAGGGAGGGTGCATGGAGGCCATGACCACATCTCCCACTCTCACAGCCCTTTTTGGGACAAAGCAGGAGGAAACCGGGGCAATTCATGGCTGCTTTGTCCTCATCCCGGTGATGGATGCTCTGCAGGACAGGGACAGTGCTTTCCTGTGGGAGCGCTGTCCGAATCCCGGGCAGGATGGGGATGCCAACGATGCTTATGCCCACCACAGCCCCCCCTCCATCCTCACAAGCTGCCAGCATCAGTTACAGCTTTTGGCAAAGCAGCAAAGGGTTAAGCCATGCAGCGGGGCCACGTGATGCTCCAGGGATGCCGTTTTCCTGAAGATCAGGATGGATTAGGGTGGAATATCCAGACGAGCATTCCTTGTGTGGTGCATCCCTCCTCAATCCCCTCCATGGCCCCTCAATGGTGACCCCAGCTGGTGAGCTCCTGCTCCATGTCCCCTCCCAGCACCATGATGCTGGGGCAGGTTTGGATGGCACCAAGTGGGTCCAGGCACTGGAGGAGTCTGCAGTGGGCACCATCCCCATCCCATCCCCTGCAGCCGGATGCTTGACCCATGGTGCTGCAGGCAGGAGCAGTGGGGGTCCCCTGCTCAACCCCACCATGACCCCCTCTTCTTCCTGCAGTGCATGAGGCTGGTGCCTGCCCTAGAGCCACCCAGTGCCCGCACGGACGCCGCAGGCAGCACCAGGAGCCATGTCGGGTTCCTATGACGAGTCGGCTGCGGCCGCGGAGGAAACAACTGACAGCTTCTGGGAGGTGAGTCCCAGCCATGCCCTGCTCCCGTGGGGCCCCCACTGCCATCACTGCACCCAGGCTGGCCCCACATGGCAGGGGACAGCGCTGCCTGCAAGCATCCCTGCCATGGTGGCTTGGGCATCCAAGCCAGCTCTGCTGGAGCGCCCACCCTTGGCAGTCCCCAGGGGGTGGAGAGCAATGGAAGGGACCAAACAGAGCTGGGTTTGAGCAGCCCCAAAGCAAAGGCTCCATCCCTGTACCCCCAAAGTGCCTGGTGCCACCCCCATCCCCACCACAGGCCAGGTGAGGTTTAGGGCTCTCTGGACACAGATCCCATGCCTGTCTGCCTGCATCCCCTTCCCAGGTGGGGAATTACAAGCGCACAGTGAAGCGGATCGATGACGGGCATCGTCTCTGCAACGACCTCATGAACTGCGTGCACGAGCGGGCCAAGATCGAGAAGTCCTACGCACAGCAGCTCACCGACTGGTCCAAGCGGTGGAGGCAGCTCATTGAGAAAGGTGCCTTCGAGAACCACGGGTACCCGTGCACCAGCACAGCTTCACCTGGTAGAGGTGGAGGGGTAAGGGCTGTGCGGTGATGCTCAGCTGTCCCCTCTGCCCCTCAGGTCCCCAGTACGGCAGCCTGGAGAAGGCGTGGGGTGCCATCATGACGGAGGCGGACAAGGTGAGTGAGCTGCACCAGGATGTGAAGAACAGCCTGCTGAATGATGACTTCGAGAAGGTCAAGAACTGGCAGAAGGACGCCTATCACAAGCAGATCATGGGAGGCTTCAAGGAGGCCAAGGAGGCTGAGGATGGCTTCAGGAAAGCCCAGAAGCCCTGGGCCAAGAAGCTCAAGGAGGTGAGAGGAGAAGTGCTGCATGTCCTGGGGCATCCCTGCCATCTCCCTGCAAGCAGAGGGATGGGCAGGGAGCTGTGGCTGCTCCTCTGATGTGTCTTCTCTCCCCAGCTGGAGACAGCCAAGAAAGCCTACCACCTAGCATGCAAGGAGGAGAAGCTGGCCATGACCCGGGAAGCCAACAGCAAGGCCGATCAGTCCAACACCCCCGAGCAGCAGAAGAAGCTCCAGGACAAAGTAGAAAAGTGCAAGCAGGACGTGCAAAAGGTGCGAGGCATTGGGCAGGGAAAAGTGGTGGGAATGACCACCGTGGCCCTTTTCCTCCCATTCATTCCCATTTTGCCATCCATACGCTCCTATAGAAGTGTGATAACTCGCAGACAGTGCTCAGGGGAGCGTGAGCAGAGATTTGCCCCTTTTACCAGGGCAAAATCTCTCTGGTAACAGATTTGATTTCACCCACAGAGGCTCTTATCTCAGCCTGGGCTCCCCAGCATGGCAGCCTCCAAACCCATAAAGGGGCTCTGAGGTGCTCGGGGTATGGTTATACCATAAAGGTGCCTTTGCAGACTCAGGAGAAGTACGAGAAGGTGCTGGACGAGCTGAACAAGTGCACCCCGCAGTACATCGAGAGCATGGAGCAAGTCTTCGAGCAGTGCCAGCAGTTTGAGGAGAAGAGGCTCAACTTCCTCAAGGAAGTGCTCCTGGACATCAAGAGGCACCTGAACCTGGCCGAGAGCAGCAGGTAGGTGCCTCCTGTGCCGGCTGGGCAGAAAGTGCCCATGCAAGGACTCCTTATGGTGCCTGGAAAGCAAATCAAGCCTTGGAGGGACCCATTGCCGCTCCAGTGCATCCTGGTGACCATGGTGTTGGCCAGAAACAGGCATAGGCATCACCGTGGTCACTAAGATGCACTGGAGTGGCAAGAAGCCTTGTGCCTTGTAGTGGGTGACCCCACGTGGGCATGTTCCCATCTAACCCCATCCACAGTGGGGTCCACCCTACCCACAGCACCCTGACCCCCACCTCTCCCTGCAGCTATGCCAACGTCTACCGGGAGCTGGAGCAAACCATCCGCCTCTCGGATGCGCAGGAGGATCTCCGGTGGTTCCGCAGCACCAGCGGCCCCGGGATGCCCATGAACTGGCCGCAGTTCGAGGTGAGGCTGAGCACCACAGCTGTGCTGGCAGCCCCCCAGGGCAGCCGGGCGCTCAGGGGCTGCTTGCTCTGTGCTTGCAGGAGTGGAACCCGGACCTGACGCACACGATAACGCGGAAGGAGAAGCAGAAGAAAGGCGAGGGGGTGACCATGACCAATGCCAGCGGCACGGGGGACAGCGGGGCGCCGGCGGGCGAGCGCGGGAGGTGAGGGCTGGCAGGGTGGGAAGATGCTATGGGAACACTGCGAGTGCTATGGGGACGCAGAATGTCCTGGTCCTCATGGGCTGGGGTCGTGCTGCAGCCACTGCTCCCCTGCATCCTCAGGGAAACTGCAGCATCCTCCCAGCGGCACCCGGTGCCTGCCCCAGTCCTCCATCCCTTGCCCACTCCTACAGCCCCTCTTCCTCTTTGCTGTAGTGTGAGCAGCCACGACCGTGGGCAGACCTACAGCGCCGAGTGGTCCGATGATGAGGGCAGCAACTCCTTCAACACCAGCGAGGCCAATGGTGGCACCAACCCCTTCGACGAGGAGTCGGTGGGGAAGGGCGTGCGGGTGCGGGCTCTGTACGACTACGATGGGCAGGAGCAGGATGAGCTCAGCTTCAAAGCAGGTATGGTCCGTTGTCAGTGCTGGGTTTGCTGGAGCTGCAGGTGCCCCGTGTTTCGGTGGGAAATCCCTCAAATAACCTCTGAGTTATCCCAGCCCTTCAAGAAGCTGAACTGGCAGAAAGGGGAAGGCACAAGCTGAGCCCAGACCCCGGTGGGGCTGAAGAGGTGGTGGGATGAGGCTCATGAGGTCTCATGGGTCACCCCTTGCCTTTCTGCCCTACAAATCAGCATCCTCAACATCAGTCCTAACCCCCCCTCCAGCATCTCCATCCAGTGAAGTAAGGGTGTCAGAAGTTCCAAACAAACCTCTCCCCTTCCACCTTCCTCCCAGGTGATGAATTAACCAAACTTGGTGAAGAAGATGAGCAAGGATGGTGCAAAGGGCGCTTGGACAACGGGCAGCTAGGTCTCTACCCCGCCAACTACGTGGAGGCAATCTAAGTCTTGTGGTGTGCTCCTCGTCGCCGTCAGCAGCTCAATCCACCCTCCATTGCCTCCATCGCTCCACCAACCAGCCCTGGTGCTGTCTGGTCCTTCACTCCTCACACTTAGAGATTCAGACATATTTTCCGACCAAGCTTTTATTTTTTTAAGAGTTGTCTCTGAAGAGTATTTTGCATAGCCGCTTTCTTCTTCTTCTTCTTCTCAAGATAACGTGAAGCGAAAGATGACGTCGTCTGTTCGTCTGCGTTCGTTGATCTTTTCTCTGAACAAAAAAAGCCGATACCTCAAGATCTTAAATCCCAACCAGTGAGAGCTCCTGACCGGTTGGCTTTTAAAGATACTGAAATCATGAGCCGCCTTCTGATTGGCTGGAACTGTTCCGAAATGCACAGCGCTGAAGCTCCTGGGACTAATCAAATTCATCCCAAAAGCCCAAGGTGGATTGGAGTCTGACTCCATGCTTCCATGGTCTTCTCCCTGCTTCATCCTCCCTTCGCAAAGGAAGGGAATGAACACCCCCTCCGGCCCTGCAGCCACCCAGCCCCATCCACAGGCAGGGCCTTGCTCGTGGGTAGGGCTGGTGGCAGACCTGGATGCCCAGGTGAGGTGGGACCAGCCCTGCCGTGGAGATTGGTGGCATCTCCTCAGCTTCCTCTTCCTCTTCACGGCTGGGCTGCTGAGCCGATGCCCCGCGTGTGCTGCAGGGAGCAGCATCCCCCTTCCCGAGGGCCGTTATCCAGGTCCGGGTGGTTTGGCCCTGAAATCCACCTCTGTTCCAAGAAGGACCCACCTGGAGGAGGATCCCACTGCAGATCAATGCTGCTGGAAGCCTGGGCTAGCGGGGACCAGCTTGGATGCTGCTGGGGACAGTCCCCATCCACCCCCTTCCCGGAGAGAGGCAGGAGCGGAGCAGGGATGAAGGATAAGCAACGTCCAGCCTTGCACAGTGCCAGCAGGAGCTGCAGCACCCAGAGGATGAGGAGGCTTGGTGCAGGCAGCAGAGCCCAGTCCGGGCAGCAAAGCAGCTGCCTGGTGAAGATGGTTGGAAAGAAGACATGCCAAAAGGGGAACGGATGCAAGCTTTGCCCTTTGCTTCTCCCCAGAGGGTTCTCACCCTCCTGCACTTGGGTTCTGCAACCGGCCCTGGCACGGATAGGAGCCCCTCAGCACCCAGGGGTGCTGCCACCCAGCACGGTCACCCCAACCCCTCTGCCCCAGGCATGTTTGCTATCCCAAGCAATTCCCTACAGGTCATCTCTTTGTTTTCCCTATTCCACCCAGCATCGGCGCCCTCATCTCCCTGCTCACTCCTCCCGCTCCTCTCCTGCCCTCTCTGTTGCTTTGTGAATTTCATGGCCCCAGGGATCAAGTGTTCTCAGGAGGCAGGAGATGCTCCATGTGCTGGGCACGGCGGGGCGAGAGCCGCGCTGCCCCTCGCCCCTGCCAGGTATGCAAGAAAGCAGAAACCACGCAAAACAGTCAGACAAAACCCAACCAACCTCCTGTCTCAGCAATGCACCCCGGTTTTTTGTACAGTGATGGTGTAATTTAAGAAGTATATATATAATATATATATATCTCTCGTGATTGTAGTACCGTGGATACAACAACGAAAAGCAGCAAGCGAAAATAACTGAGCTCTGTCAGCATCCTTCGGGTCCGGGTCCTCATGTGCCTCCCTGTGCCAGTCTTGCCCCCATGGAGGAGGCTGTTGGGGTTATGGACCCCCATACCTTGAGGAGCCACAGGTGCAGGGACACCCACACACTGAAGGTTCGGGGTGCAGTGGGAAGGGGGCTCGGATGTCGAGCTGGGGGGATGAGAAGGGGAGGAGCAGCCACTGCCTTTGGGGACTGCGTGGGGTAAAACCTCATGAAAGCCATGGGGTAACTTGGGATAAAGCAGTTTCGGGGGTTGGTCCCAGCATCAGGGGATGGGGGAGCCCTGGCACAGCGAGTTGGAGCTGGCAGAGGTGACAGCCTCTTGGGCTCCCTATGAGTCCTGAAACCTTTGGAATAATGACCAGGACAGGGCTATGGACATAGGGGACAGGGTGGTGAGACTGGGATTATGGGGGCACTCACTGGGCTGTTGATGGAGAGGGGGCAGGTAAAAGGGATTAATTTCCCCTTGTTTAAGGGCCGGAGCTACAAACGGTCTGATCAGAAGCCCAGTCCTGCTGCAGGGAACCTGCTGCATCAGGTCCCCACATCCCCGTCTCCACCCTCCCCATCTGGCCCCGGCTCTCCCCCTTCCTGCTCACCTTCCTCACAGTGACAAGCAGCCGGGGGACCTGTGACAGAGACCCAAGATTTGGGGCACCAGCGCCATCAGTGCATCCTCCTGGTGCTTCCCACAAGACACATCTGCCCCCTTTCCCTTATCTCCCCCCAGTTTTCCAGAGGCCAAGGCAGTTTTCCTCCTTCCCCTGCTCCTTCAGTCCCCTCCATCCCTCCCGCTGGGATGCTTGCAGGGCTGCAGGAAGCGTGGCTGCTTCTTTGCCATATAAGCAGCATGAAACAGGCAGAACAAACCCCGAAGAGCAGGAGCCATCACAAGCAGCTGTGTTAAATTAAAACCAAAACACCAAGAACCAGGGTTTTTTCTGCTTTTAAAGCTCCCACAGAGCATCTCGCGGTGCCCGGGGCCCATCACCCCCCATTCATCTGAACCTAGACCACAACTTGCCACCAGCCCAAACCAGAAAGCAAATAAAGATGTAATATAAAAGAGCAACATCACCAGGTAACTCGGGCTGTCGGGAAATGTGCAGTTTAAGCAACCCCCGGGTTTCTGTCTCAGTGCAGGCTTGCGGGGCTGTGTTTCTGATTTACTGTCCAGAGGGAAGTGGTGAATGTGCCACCTCCCTTTTCCAGAACTCTGGAATCAGGCAGTCCAAAACCCAAATCCAAATCAAGGGAAGAGCTCTGTGCCAAGGCCAAGGACCCAGGGGCTTTGGGATGCTCTGGGTGACCCCATGCCCAAGGATGCGGTCCCAACTCAGGGGACCCCCTACTACTGCAGGGATGCCCATGGTGAACAGCCCTGCACCCACCTTCTACAGCTGCTCCCTTTGCAAAATGCCCCAAATCCCTGCAGAGGAGCAAAGCGGAGCCGGGAAGCAAAGGGAGGATGTGCCCATCTGAGGGGATGCTTGTGGTCCCCGGGGCACAGCATCCCTGGGTGCTGCTGGTGCCAGGCTGCTCCCGCATGGGCACAGCCAAGGGCAGCCGCAGGTGCCCTCGTCCCTTCAGATGCCATTGTCCCAGCTCATGCCTGCGCTTTGTCCTCCCCAAACAATGGCTGGGGCGATGCCACCGCAGCCAGCACCCGGGAGGGAGGGGAAAGCCTGGGCACTGTGAGCACAAAGTGCAGGCAGCCTCTTTCCTTACAGCTGAGGCGCAGTGAAGAGCAGAACCCCCCATCCTGAACAGAGCTGAGGGCCAGGGGATGCTCTGTTAGGGTCAATCCAGAGCAGCCCCACTGCAGTGCACGGGGTCACTCCTAATGGGCACTGGGGGCAATCAGTCCCACAGCTGGGCTGTTGGTGAGATGGGGACAGGCTCTCACCGGAGGGGAGTATGGTCCTGATGCTCGTGGGGATCTTGAGGTGTCCAGCTTGGCCCCTGTGTCCTGGCAATGCCCTGGGGCTGTAGGGTAAAGGGACAGTGTGGCAGGGCGAGAGACCTGAGGGCTGGACTCCTGTGTCCCCAAGCTCCTCTCCCACCATCAATCCCTGCCAAAGGGCACCGAAGTTGTGGGGAGCCCCATGACAGGCACAGATTTATCTGCCTTTATCTCACCCCCATCAACCCCACACTGGTGCTTATCCTAAGGCTGGGTGCTGACAGGAGCCCCGTGGTCCATTGGCAGCGGGATGGAGCCCCTCAGCACCCCGGTCCTTGGCGCTGGCAGATGGTTTCTGTGGCTGGGAGGCAGGGGGATGCAGCGAGGGTCCCCTGTCCCTGCCGGGGCGCAGGTGCCTCCGCTCACACTGGGTGCACAAACTGGTAGACCAGGCGCTGGGAGATGTCGGGCTTCCGGATGATGCCTTTCTTGTAATACTGCCGGATGGAGCGGCTCAGTTTGTCGTAGTTCATGGCCGGGCGGTTCTTGCGGATGCCCCACAGCCGCGCCACTTGTGCCGAGTCCTCGATCTTGAAGATGCCTGAGAGAGAGACAGGGCCTGGGGGTTACAGCCTTGCCTGCACCCCCCCCCCCCCCCCCCAGACCCACCAGCACCCACTGTGGGGCCGCCGGAGCACTCACCCTTCTCCTTGTTGAGCCAGCGGATGAAGCGGCCGTAGTTGTTGGGTTTCAGCAGCAGCTCTTTGAGGAACTGCCAGAGGTGGATGGGTTGGCCAGCGCAGGATGAGTCCACCTCGCTGTCTGCCCAGGCAGCATCACCTCCTGCAGTGGAGAGGGATGGGGGAGATGAGGGAGGAGAGAAACGGCACTGCTCTGCACCATCCCAGGGACCTGCAGGGGTCCTCATATGGAAGACCCCAGCTCAATGCTCATCCATCTCCAGAGGCTGGGTCTGGAAGCGCCGCTTTCTCCTCCCCATCTCGGAGCTGGGAAAACAGCTCCGTCCTGCCCTGGCACAGCCCCACAGGGACTCACAGGGTGCAGGAGTCTTGTGGTCATTTCCCCTTGGCTGCACCTTGCAGGGGCTGCTGTGGGGCAGAGGGAGTGCAGCCGCATGGATGCTGCTGCAGCAGCTGCTCCCACACCAGGTAATGACGATTGAGCAGGGAGCAACCTCTCAAACACCCCCGATGCAGCAGTGAGGCCAATGGAGCTGAGCCCGCACAGAACTCACCGCAGTATCTCCCATCTCCCGGCCTGTCTTTTTCCTTCATCCAGGCAGCTGGAAGGCAGGAGCAGGCATCAGAGGAGCATCTCCCATTGCCAGCATCGCCCACCCTCGCGGTCCCCAGCACCCACCGGACTTCCAGATGTCGAGGTGTGCATGCAGGATGTCCCCACAGGTGGGTGAGCGCTGGCAGAACTGCTCCTCGGACATGGCACACAGGTCCTTTCCCGACAGCTCCTGGAAGGACTTCCCCATCTGCGGCAGCCGGTACTGATGCTCTGTCCATAGGATCCACTTCTGCACATTGCCGGGGCTCCAGTCCACGGGGTCTGAAGGCAGTGACACCCCAAGGAGGACCTCGGTGATGCCCAATGGCAGCAGTACCCCAGAGGACTCGGACCTGGGCTGTCCTGCTCCCTTTGCACCCAACCCTACCCCTAGCTCAGGTAATGCCAGCTGCCTCCAGGCTGTCACCAACCCCACACACTCCTCTGCCCATTCCTAATGTCCAGGGAAAATGGGATGGAGAAAAGGATAATTCAAGTCCTCACTACACACACATCCCCAAGATGCAGTTATGGGTTGCCTTTCAGGCTCACACCAATGCCCTGGGAGGGGAAGGGACCCCCAGCTCCAGAGAGGGTTGCTGTGTCCCTGCAGCTCCCTGGCTCTATGGCATGGCTCTGTCACGCTGTTACCCCACACTGGGCTCTGCACCCTGCACTTTAGCTCCTGCCCTGGCACATCCCTCCCTCGCTGCCCCCCACGGCTGTGGGGACACTGACCTGCAGCGATGTTGAGCAGCTTGCAGGCCGTCTCGATGTCCTTCAGCACTTCGCCCACCACCATGCTCTGTACCTGCTCCAGCGAGTGCTCCTCCAGGGGCAGGCTGGCCTGCAGGTCCCCCTCGGCGCCCAGCCCCAAGCCCTGGCTGTCAATGA